TCAGCGCGATTTTGACAGAGGAATATAAGTTGAAACAATATTTCTTCCAAAAAGCATTTCAATTTTCCATTTGATTTTATATGTTTTTTTTTCCTCATACGGTAGAATAGAACCTTTAGAAATATGCATATGAAATCTGCCAATGCAGTCGGCTCTCTTTTTTTAAAATCTTATTCAGTTCAAGGCAAAATCTTTCATCGAATTTGTTTCATTTTTACTTTTGCTATAGCCGCAGCAGCTACCAACATAATCGACACGTTTTCCTCTTAGTTTTTTTTTTCCTTGTTAACTGTTGATAGCTGTGACAATTGCATATTTCAAGTACCTTCTTTTACCTTTCTGAACTTGTTTCTTTTTTGTGCTAATTGTTTGGTTATGCTTTACAGTTTTATGCTTCAATAAGGTCACTTTCCATAAATTAATTTCTACTGCGCGCATGGGTTCAATATATTTGTGGCGCTAGCAGGTAACAAGAAACTTTTTTTTTGTAAATCATTATTCATCATAAAAATTAATTTGTGCTTATACAAGTCTAATCTGTTGTCTAATTTTAGCTTTTGATTATGCAAAACTGTTATGCTTGACTTTCAGTTTTAGATGGAATGAATTAGATGTGCTTTAGTCGCGTGCATCTAAACCAGTTTGGAACGTAATTCAAAGCCAGCGACTATAGATAAGCTTTGAATAAAATCACAAGTCATGCAGATCAGATGTTATCCGCACAGTTAAGTAGCTTTCACTTATTCTATTACCTTTAAAGGCATTTTGTTATCTCCTATAATTTTGATTTCTTCTTGCAGAATTAGCTGGTCTGTGCATAGGCCTTTGTTGTTGCAAAGGTTTCTCTCATGAAAGAGTTCTTGCAATGATAATATGGTATGGTGGATTTGCATCTTTGTTTTCTCTAGACACTGCTATGACAAACAAGTTTTATTATTAAGACAAAGGAGTGAAAAAGATGGAGAGGAAAAATTTTTTACAATTGGATCACTGGAATTCAAATGCTCACCTGAATTTCATAATTTGCTGATAGTACATGACATACTTCTCTGGAAAGCATATTAAATTCTTTGAAAAGTTTCATATCTTTCAGGGCTCCTTTGGCTTTCCTTGAAGCTTCCAAAGATGAATTACATATGGAGTCTCCTGCCAATGGTACAATGGAAGGTATAAGATACTTAAAAACTTTTGCCTTGATTTTACGCTTATGTATATTAGCTTGAAACATTTTTTTTTTAAATGAGAATATGCATTACTTAAAGGGCCTCAGGAAA